TGTAACATGTAAATCTCGTGTAATCCGTTTAACCAAAATCAAACATTTCTTAAGCCATTATTAGAAAGACAATTTTAATATCATGTGCGAAATCTCAAGATATTCCCCTGTCAGATAACATCAGTATTTCCTATCAGACACCGCCCATCTTAGCATGCAGTCATAAATGATCATAATAAAAATTCGTAACTGAATACATTCGTCTCGCAATTAACTTGACATCAGTAATACTATCATACCAAATGTAAAACAAGACACGTATCAATCCCAGAGACATTTTGTCGTCCGAAATACCAGGGGCTAGTCTTGGATACAAACGTTGTCATTGAACACTTCTGGAGGGTGTGGTTCGCGTTTGCGTTTAAGAACAAGGCTCCGTAATGCTCTTCAGAGGGTTATCTTAGGTCTTTTACCATATTAAAGATAACCTTTCTATGCAAGTAACCGCTCAATTGGTAGAGCGCCGGACTGTTGTGCGAGAGGTCGTGAGTTCAAATCCAGCCGGACCAACACTCAGGGTCTTTAAATAACTGAGAAGAAAGTGCTGGCTTTGTAATATTATCTGCAAATGGTTAGACTTTCTAGTCTTCTCGGATAGGGACGATAAATGGAGGTCCCGTCTCACAAGCCCTTGTATAAGATAAAAAAAATTTGTGGGACGTTAAAGAACCCACACACTGTTCGAAAAGAATAGGGCACATAGTGCCCGGTGTTGTGGTCTATCTTTATGTGTGTCTATCAAATTGATGGGGGGTACTGCGCCTTTGAATATTATATAGAAAGGGCGCAATATAAATAAGGAATTCATTCATTCATTTATTCGTTCGTTCGTTCATTCATTCATTCATTCATTCAAGTAGATCAACATTCTTAGCGGCATTAACATAATGATCTTCTAATCTCATTGTAGATACGTCATCGCTAGAAACTCAGTCTGTGAATCAAGTGAGGTAATTAATTGTTGACTGTTGATAGTTTCGGTAACCAAGGCTACAGTTCAAGAAACACATTAGGCTCAAATGGTAAGATAAGTCAGTTTCTTGAACGCTCCCTCTTCACTAGAGCCGTGACACGACAGAGCAAGTTCTTCGTGCCAAGCAATCAGATATGCAGACGAGGTGGTACAAAAAAATATATGCTTATTTCATGATTTGCACCGCATACTCCTCTCACTCTCTCACTGAGGTAATTTAAATGGGGTCAATTAATGTATCAGCTGGTCTTATTAGGATCTGTTTGTCGAATGTTCCTCTTTTTCTCAGGGTTAAGTGTACGTTTCTTGAAGGCGACTTCGTTTCCGTCGCCAACTGAACGGAAAGTGATTTTAGGAGTTGATCGTTCTCTGAAATTCACTACGGTCGAGTTTGGTTCGGTTGTTGTGGTCTTTCGAGTCTCGCTTTCGCTGGCTGAAGCACTCTTCGCCCTGCAAAGTGAAAGAAGTCTTCTGCTTCCGTATCATTGAATGCACAGTCACTGTGATAACTATGATCAGTAACTGAAAGAGCTTGATGGAATCAATGAGGGCTTAAAAANATCAATCAAACAGCCCATCAATCAAACAGCCCATCAATCAAACAGCCCATCAATCAAACAGCCCATCAATCAAACAGCCCATCAATCAAACAGCCCATCAATCAAACAGCCCATCAATCAAACAGCCCATCAATCAAACAGCCCATCAATCAAACAGCCCATCAATCAAACAGCCCATCAATCAAACAGCCCATCAATCAAACAGCCCATCAATCAAACAGCCCATCAATCAATAAAACAGCTTATCAACCAAACAGCCCACCAATCAAACAGCCCATCAATCAAACAGCCCATCAATCAATAAAACAGCCTATCAATCAAACAGCCCACCAATCAATCAAACAATCAGTCTGTTAATCAGTCAATCAAAGAATTCAAAAACTAAGAAAATTAAGAATTCTACAAACAATAAATCCTTCAATTTAGCAGTGATTTACAGATTTTACTATATATTCCTGAACCCATCAACCAGTTTATCCTAACTTGAACTGATCAACCTTGGGCTTTGACACCACGTATAAGAAATTTCTGATCGATTTAGCACATGATAAAAGGTAATTCGAAAAAGTAAAAGTCAGAATAGTTATAAAGAATGGAGGTGAAAATGTGGATTGTTCACCTTGTGTAGCTGTATTGTAATAATAATAGTAGCCTTCTGGTGCTTGAGCTATGTTCCAGCCATGGTTGCAATTCATAATGGGAGTTTGTCCCTCATAGGAAATGAGGCATCCTATAAAGAGACAATTGAGGATTATGGTTATGTTAACTCCTTTTTCTAAAACCTGACTAGAAAAACATTATTTATCATGAAACAATCCTCTAATTAAACAAACTCAGCTTCAGCAAGTCTTTTGCCTATCCAGATGTGACATTAGGCTTGGGTTTCTGAGGAGAGTGCTGTGCATGTGTTCTTACCAGCAGAGCTTTCACCATTGGAACAAGTTTCATTTGTCTGTGTTTTTGTGACTTTGCGTTAGATTCAGGGTTTGATTTTGATGGCTCAATGTTCAAGTCTTTCTCATATGCCTTCAGTGCTGCCTGTGAGATAAAATGACATAATTTAAATCTACAACTACATATTAAGTTTAACAGCTTTAAAGATGGCAGTCATGCTAAGGAGAAAACCCTGTGTTTCCAAGTATTGTCTACAGATTGGATGGCAAGTGAAGGCCTTTGTTTATGCTACTTATGCTAATCCTTTCTTTAAGCGTGAAAACCAGCCCTTAGAACTGCTGTGGTCTGTGAGAGCAACCTTTTGGTAAAGAAATCTTAACACTTTACAAGTACATATAACAAGATGAGATTCACGTATTCAGGCTTTCACAATAACCCCCTTGGTATAATTATGTCAGAAACTTGTCAAGAATTCAAATCACAGCTATGTCACATACAGCTTCAATAGCTTCTAAATCCATCTGTAGTTGTTTCTGAGCTTGTGAAGTTTCTTTGCCTTTCTTCTGAACCTGGAAAGTGAGCACAGAAAAGTATAATTACAGCTCAGTGTTCTAGTCAGCTCTTCCACATGACAATTGGCAGAGAAGTTTCAAAAACAAAACATAAGCAACAACAAACAATGACCCTGGAGAAGGAAGAAATTAAAACCTTCCATTTCTTCCTGATGGAGGACTGCTTTTAGCAAGGAAGAAAGTTAAAGAGTTGAGAAGTTTTTTGCCTGAGTGTTTGTCATTGTAGCAGTTATGTATTATGTAAGTCGGTTTTCAAAGATTACAAGAACTAAGACTTGTCCTCAGAAGATTCAGAGGGAAAATTCAGGAGAACAAACATGTCTCTTACCTCTTGAATTCTTTTCTGTACATTTTCTTTGTGTTTCTTACCCCTCTCATGAAACTCTATGCTCTACAAGAAGACACGCAGATACAGCCCAATGTGCAAGCACCCTTCTAGAACAATTTTTCAACATGAAAGTAATGTACCATCTATATTTTTCTCACCAGAAAGAACATCATTTTCTTTGGAAAGATACCTTTTCAGTCTTGATCAGTGAAAACAAATTGAAAAACTGGTTACGTCTAAGGTAGTGTATCACAGGACAGATGTCTTTTCAGAGCCTATATACAGATCTTAACAGAGCCAAATTTCCACCACTGAGCTTTCAAACAACTGAGAAATGAAACTTAACATCAGCCACATGTAGGCTACAACGGACTTTTTCATGGGTCTTATCAAACACATCCATAATTTAGACACATGCACAGTATATTTGCTTCTACCCGGAATAAATAGGTGCGAAGTAAACAAACATAAATAAAAGTAAATTACAACCATTCTATATATAATCAGTACAACTGCAATATTCCTCTTCCTTTATTCACCAAGACTATGATTTAACTAAATGATCGTCAACCTTTAATAAATAGTAACGTGCTTAAACCTTACTGCTTTGTTGTCAGTAATCCAGCACTTGCAAAACTCGCACATTTTTTTGGGTTGAGATTTCCAGTACTCTGCCCTAAAGAGAAATGCAAATTGTGAAACTTTTTGTCGACTTGCCCTTAACTTAAATAATTTCACTGGCTTACATCTGGTCTAGAATTCCACCAAGTTATGTTTCCACAGACGTCAAGATAGCTGAACGAGCTCTCTGGTATATACTTCATATAAGATAAGCGTACAGTCATTAGAATTTATCTCGTATATGCTATACTCACATATGACTGCCAATGACCAACCAATACAGGAGGGTACAGGGTCTCAACCAGGTTAGCCTTCAACCGTCAAATGGCCAAAATATCAACCGTCAACCGTCAAAAACGCAATATTTTACCGTAAACCGTCAAATAAGCACGCCAGTATTAGCCGTCAAATGTCTCATATATCCTTAATTATTAAAAACTAGATCATTGCATAATACAATTCAAGACTTTTTATTGGCTTAGCCATTATGGTATATCAGCCAATATACCATAATCTACAAATATGGCAAGCGTACATGTCAGATTAAAATTAAAAGGGAGCTAAAAATGGAATAAAATTTAATTTAATTTAACGTTTTTAATAAAACAATTATTCCACTCGCGCTTGTTGGATATGAGATGATTATAGCCAACGAGGCGC